GAGATCCGGGCAGGGGTCTGGGAGCATCGCAACCCCCTTCCCCAGCTGGCTTAACTCCCTTTTCCAAAGGCGGTGGAGCGGCGGTCAGCAATGGCCGCCACAAAGAACCTCTCAGCCGGACAAGTTTTGTGCAGGAGGAAGTTGAGAAAGTGAAAGTTTTTGGCTGAACCGGCACGACAAGCAACATCTGAATACCCTGGAACTTTGGCTCTTTAAGTGATACATTGTTTCCCAAGAAGATATTAAAGCTGCGGTTGAAAGTGAAAGGGAAAGCTTTTTTTTTCTCTCCTCACTTTCCTTCCCTACGGAGATAGCAGATGGAAATCTGAAATACCCGCTTTGGCAGCAGAAGGTAACTAACTTTGAAAATTAAAGCCAAGGGGACATTAGATTTCTAAACACTGACATTTAAAAATTAAAATCTTTTTGCTATAAGTGGGAAGGAAGAGAGGTAAATGATTTATACCAAGATTTGTTGAAGGAGACTGCTTGGAGCTTATAAGATCAGAGATTAAATTGCAATAAAACTTCAAAAAATTACCTTGGAATTGTGTAATTGAATTCTACCCCAGGAAGAGAAAGTATTAAAAGAAGAAAGTGCTAAATGAAACAGTTTGTGCTGATTTTGATTGCTTTATGACTTTGGGACTTTTGTAAACTATCTTTTGAAAGTCTAAAAAAACATTTGGATTGTTTTTAAAAAAATTTCACAATGGTATCTGTTGAAGAATTGAAAATGGAATTTGAAAAGTTAAAAGAAGAGGAACAAGAAGGCAAGGGCTCTTTTGGATCTATTTTTCGCTTCTTAGAAATGGTGATTTCTACTTATCAGGAAATGCAACAACAAGAAAGTTGGGATGAAGAAGAAGAAGCCATCTTTAATGGACATATAATTTTAATTGAGGAAGAAAAGGGAAAAAAGGAAAAGAAAATGGAGAATTTAAGTTCTAAAAAAAAACCAAGAAAGGGAAAAATAAGGTGAAAAATCGATATAATGTCAGAAAGCAACAGAAAAGAGGAATACAACAGAGAGGGGAGACTAAGAGGGTGGAGATTGAGAGATGGGGGGGTAAAAAGGCTAGATTTGACAAGAAAGGAAGGGAAAAAGTGAAAAGAAGTTATAAAGGCTTAAAACAAGATGTTAAAAAACAGGTTTTTTTCAGAGACAAAGGGTAAAATATAATCTAAAAAGAGATTCTGCAAAAGTACATAAGATTGTATTGTAGTATTTGTATTTGAAATAGAGTTAGAAAATTGGAATAACATATGTGTTAATAGAACATTATAGGGAATGTGTAAAATGTCCAAGATTTAACTAATAGAGTTTAATTAATTAATTTGTTATGGAACATTGTTTTTACCATACTATAAGCTTATTATGTTTTTTATTTTAAAATGTTATGTAGAATGTACCAAGCAGAATCAGAATGGAAATTATGTATTATTTTAAGTGTTAAATTTGGGGGAAAGATAGAAAGGTGTCATACTTCAACCAGTGATTACAGGAAAAAGTTTGTATTAAAGAGAAAAGATAAATAGATAATTGAAAAAGAATGGACAAAAGATACAAGTATAATGATTTAAATTGAGATGAAATAAATAAAATAGAATTAAGAGATTGAAAAGAGGGGAGAAGACATATAGAAAATATAGAATGTTAAATAAGATAAGAAATAGTATATAAGGTGAGCATGAATTTGATTTATGTCTGTACAAAAAGTTGTAACCCGGAGTTAAGCTGCTTTCTAAAAAGAAGTTTTATGTCTTTATGTTATGTGTTTTGTTTGTTTATGTTTGTTTATTGAGAATTAATAATGTTGGATAAGAACATATGAAACAGTAATAATATGAAATATAGTAATATGAAATAGATGAAAGTATAAGTTTAATGAATAAAATTGAACAGAAGTAAAGGAAGAAACAGTGAGAAGTTGGAAAAAGAGTAATAAGATATGAAGTTGAATACATAAGATGCATATTAAATTGTGTTTGTATGGAAATGTGATAATTTGGAATTATGTTGTACTTCAATAAGATGTTTTGTTTTGTTAAGCAGTTCTTAGAAAAGATGTTCTATGTTCTTATGTTTTATGTTTTGTTTGTCTGTGTATTGTCTTTGAAAATTAATAAAATTTGTGTGTTGTTTTTTTTAAAAGAAATCCGCCATGAAAATGGAACTGTGCAAACTCGTCCACCTCGTTAAAAACAGGAGTTGGTGCTCTGCCAGCCCATGGAGGAGGCGAAGTGGTCTGCCTCATTCCAATACAATACTGGGACCTGGAGGAAGTTTTCAGTGAGTGGGAATCAGGTGTACTCCCCACTCATCGCCCCACAGACTGTGCTACCGAAATATTGCCTGGGGCCAAGCTACCAAAACCCAAACTATATTTGTTGGCACCAAGGGAGTTAGAGGAGCTCAGGACTTTTATTTTCAAAAATCTGGGGAAATTTTTTGCCAAGTTGGATCTAAGGGAGGCTTATTACTGGGTGCAAATCAAAGAGGTGACAAGAGGAAGACTGCTTTCAATTGACCACTAGGTTGCTTTCAATTTTGGGTCCTTCTGTTCAGTCTACAATGGGCAGCTGCCAAATCTATTCAATGAATTAATGAAGTACTGCATGAACACTTGTTCAAGGGAGTAACTGCATGAACACTTGTTCAAGGGAGTCCTGGTCTACTTAGATGACATTCTAATTTACACAGAAACCATGGATGAACACATGAAGCTGGTGAGGGCTGTCTTAGAAAACCTAGCTGCTCAATTATATGTGAAGCTTGTCAGAGTATTCATTTACTGGCAGAGACATAGTTAACAGAGTCAGTGAGTAGGCATGGTAACAGACCAGCCAATAGGAGCTGACCTGGAAAGTGAAACTAGAAGTTCTCTCTCTGTTTTGCTTGTGTCTGCTGAAGTTACTTGCACCATCTTTCTGTTTGAGTTTGCGCCATGTTGGAGAAATCTACAACTGGTTTGTAAAATGTACTTAATATGTTTATAAAGATGTTAAATGAAGCACCAGCCATCTGTATTTATTTTTCTGGCACTAAATTTTTGCTGCAAAACTCTGAACAGGTTATGTTTCCAGAAAAAGACTGAATTGTAATTAAAGCTGAGAGACTGCCTGTTTTAAAAGTAAGAAAGAAGGCAAGAGGCTTTGCAGGATGGCTGAAAAAATTAAAGAGAGCTCTCTACCCTGTTTGGGTCAGAAGAACTATATTATTTGGGCTGCAAAGATGGAATGTTTCCTGAAGGCTAAAGAGCTTTGGAATATTGTTGAAAATCCACCCCAGGCACCATTGAATGCTGCAGATCAGAAGCTGCATGATAGAGCATTTGCTTATATCATCTTAAGTTTAGAAGATGATCAGTTTATCAATGTAGCTGATTTAAAGACTGCAAAGGAAGTCAGGGATAAATTGAGGACTGTTCATGTGAGTGTATCTGCATGCAACATCGTACAATTATCAAGAAAGTTATATAGAGCTTGTTTGCAGCCAGGAGATTCAGTGGAACAGCATTTTGTTCATATGCAAACATTGTTTGTGGAATTAGAACAGCGTGGGATGAGGATTCCGGAATCTCAAAAAGTACTACTAGTTTTGAACAGCCTAGATGAAACATGGGACATTGTTTCTGCAGTGTTTGAATGCAAACCAGAGCAGGAATTGCATTTGGAAGCTCTGAAAGCATGTCTGATAGCTGAAGAGCAGAAACATCATTATAGAAAAAAACATGAGGAGGAAAAATTCCTGAGGAGGAGGCCCAAGAAGAACAGTGGAAATTTCCAAAGCCAGGCTGTCTGCAGAGAGCAGCACAGAAATAAGAGCCTTGCGGTTTCCAGAGACCAGAAGAGCAGTAGAAGATATCAGACTACAGCTAAGCAGAAAGCCCAACAACAGAAACCATGTTTCATCTATGGTGACACTACTCATTTAAAGAAAGACTGTTTGCTGCAAGAAAGACAAGTTGATGGACAAATTGTTGTTGCAAAAGCCAGCAATAGTAATGGAAGAAATCAATAGCTGATAGACAGTGGGGCTAGCCAAATGATTATTAATAATGCTAAATTGTTTTACAGGATGGATGCAGCTGCAGGAGTCACAGTAGCCTTGGCAAATGGTAAGAAGGCTAAAGTCATTGGAAGAGGCAGTGTGCAAATTCCATATTTGGAAACAAGGTTTGATAATGTTTTATGAGTGCCAGAAATGAAACATAATTTGCTGAGTGTCTGTAGTTTAGACAAGCAAAGATTTGAGACCACATTTGTAAATGGGCAGTGTCTTATAAAGAAAAATGGAACTGTTTGTGCAAAGGGCATAAGGCATGATAACCTTTATATGTTACAAGGACAAAAAGTTCAATGTGCACAAACATTTGGCAATGTTGCAAAACATGATTCATTTATTCATCTTTTGCACAAAAAGCTTGGTCATGCCAGCTTTAAAGTTGTTCAAAAGATGGACCAGTATGCAGAAGGATTGCATGTAAAGGGATGTAAGGCATATTTGGATTGTGCAGTATGCAAATCATCAAAGTCCAAAGCATTCCCAGTGGGCAAGAGTAGCACAAGGCAAACAACAAGAACTCTAGAGCTGGTACATGCAGATTTGGTGGGCCCAATGCAAACCAGTTTGGGAGGAGCTAAGTATGTGCTGGTCATTGTAGATGACTATAACAGGTTTGGGTTCTGCTGTTTACTAAAGAGTAAAACAGAGGCACTACAGAAATGTAAGCAATGGGTAAGCTTTGCAGAAAGAAGGTATAAACAACAGGTATGTCAGCTGCAAACTGACAGAGGTTCAGAATTCATGTCAACAAGTTTTCAACAGTAGTTGGCACAGTTAGGAATGAAACACAGATGCAAAAATCCTTACACAGCAGCTGAGAATGGTGTTGCTGAGAGACAAAATGGAGTCTTGCAAACCATGAAGGGATCATTACTAGAGGATTCTGGTCTAAGCAGATCATATTGGGGTGAAGCCATATTGACTGCTAATTATTTAGTCAATAGATTGTAGAGTTCCTCCATTAATGATACTCCATATGCAGTGCTATATGAGAGAAAACCACCTCTAGCACATTTAAGGGTGTTTGGAAGCAATGTGTGAGTGCGTATTCCAAAAGTAATTAGAAGAAAGGGGCAACCAAAGGCTAGAAAGCTCAGGATTGTGGGCTATGAGCCAGGCTCAAAGAGTTATCGCTTCAGCGATGGGAGCAAAAGAATAGTATTTTCAAGGTCTGCAAGCTTTGCAGAGCAAAATTGGAACAGAATTGATGCAAATTTATGGAATGATTCACTTAGTGACGAAGATCCACTTAGTGATGGTAACTCACTTAGTGACAGTAACTCACTTAGTGATGGTGTCAGGGTTCAGGGAGGAGAAGCTGAACAAGATATAAAGCAAGAGAAGGTTGACACACAGGAGCAGTCAGTGTTGTGGTTAGCTGGCAGCAGGTGCAGATGGCTGAGGAGAGTGAGGACACAGATGAGGGGCCAGGACCATTAGGGAGTGGACTGCTGCCTTCAGAGACAGCAGCAGCGATGAGGAGGTTCCCGATGAGCCTGTGCCAAGTGCGCGTGCGCACAGGATTGCTTGGAAGAAAGTGCAGTTGCAACAGCACGGGCAACTCGGGAGTAAAGCTGCAAGGTAATGGCCCCTCCTTCAAGAAGATAAAAGCCAGCTGTGAATGAATATGCCTTGCAGAAGGGAAAGACATTTTGAACTCAGCCTCGTGGACATTGCAGTTGGTATTTGAAAACTCTTGTGTTGTAAACTATTTCTTATCTGTTGTGTTTTGGCAGACTTGCAAAAACTCGGCAAGGTTCTTTCTTGTCGGAGCTAATTAGTTGGAAGCACCCTTTTATCTGTGAAGAAACAGAATTCTTAGCTGAAACATAAAAAGGTTGTACTGCTGCCTTTGTCTTGTGTTTGCTCTCTTGGAACCAGGTTTGAGTCAGAAGTCAGTGCCACGCAGGTCAGAGCAATGGAACAAAGGGATTCCACCTGACAGGTATTCTGCTAGTGAAGTTAAAGTGTATAATGTATGATATTAGCCAAGGAACTACAAAGAAGTAATTGAACAAGTAAAGTGGAAAGAAGCCATGGACAAGGAAATGAAATCCATGGAAGAACATGAAGTGTTCACATCTATGACTTTGCCACAGGGTAGCAAAGCTGTAGGATGCAAGTGGGTATACAAGAAAAAGATATCACCCAATAATGAAGTACAATATAAAGCAAGGTTAGTGGCACAGGGGTTTTCACACAGGAAAAATGTGCACTATGATGAGGTATTTGCACCAACTGTAAAGAGTAAGAGCATCAGGCTGGCACTAGCATTGGCAGCGGCACATGGCCATAAAATCTGGCATTTTGACATAACCACTGCATTTCTCAATGCAGAATTAGAAGAAGAAATGTACATGGTTCAAGCACCAGGGTATGAAAGTAAAAAGCCTAATACAGTATATAAATTGAACAAGGCCATTTATGGGCTGAAGCAGTCAGCCAGGAATTGGAATATCTGTTTAGATAAGGCATCGAAAGGTCTTGGGTTCAAGAGTTGCAAGGCTGATGGTTGCATATACACTGGAAAGTTAAAAGGTGGGGATTTGGGGATTGTCAACTATTAGCATTTGTGGATGAATCACAGGTAAATGAATTTGCAAATAAGTTGAAGAAAAAATTTGAATTAAAGAATTTAGGAGAAATAAAAAAATATCTTGGTGTAGAGATACATAAAACAGAAAGGTAGTTATATTCTCAGTCAACAAAGGAAAATTGAACAGTTGTTGGAGAGATATAACATGAAAGATTGTAATACTGCTCCAATGCCTATGAGTACAGATTTTCATAGCAGTGTGGGTGAGGATGAAAGTGAAGTCTGTGATCAGGAGAAATATCAGTCAGCAATAGGGAACCTATTGTACCTGTCACAGTGGTCCAGACCAGACATAGCTTGTGCAGTAAGCATTTTGAGTCACTTTACTGCTGCACCAATGCAAAAAGGATTCTCGGGTATTTGAAGGGAACTGTGAATTTAGGTCTTCAAATACAGGTCTCTGGAGAATTAAAATTGAAATGCTATGTTGATAGTGACTATGCAAATGATACAAAAACCAGAAAGTCCAATTCTGGGATTGTGATACTGTTTGGAGAGGCTTTAATTGATTAGAAGTCCAGAAAGCAAACAACTGTAGCCATTTTTACTGCGGAGGAAGAATTTACTGCTTTGTCTGAACTGTGTTCAGAGATAACTTGGTATGTACAACTGTTACAGGATTTAAATATAAAGGTAGCTGAGCCTGTCTTAGTCTATGAAGACAACGCTGCTTGCATTATGTTATAGGTGAAAATTTGGTTATTACACCTGAGAATATAGAGCCTAACTGAAGCCATTTTGTGTTCGCAGTCTGAACTTTTAAAGCTCAGAACAGTTATGCAATGTATTTTTCTGTTAGAAATCATACAAGATTGCAAAACTATGTACTTGGCATAAGTGAGAGATATGTACTAGGGTGCTTTGACATTATATAGTCACATTAAGAGAAATTAATCACCCTCTTATAATCTTCTGGTATTTGAATAACAGGAAATCTGAAGATAAATCAGAATAAAGAATGTTGATCAAGTTCCAAGTTAATTGGGGGAAAATTTTGTGGAAAATACCCACAACTTTCCTATGGGATTCTTTGTAATTTTGATTTGGAAAGCAAGAAGCGTTGTGTAACTGCTTATGTGACCTTTTTGGGGTATAAGTATGTGGTCTTTCTGGTAAAGGGTGTCTTCCTTTCCTCATACTATGACCAGCATGTGTTAAAGGTTGATCGGTACTGCAGTATCTAAATCAATAAAAGCCAGTTACGAGTTTTCAGATATCAAGCCTGTTATTTCATTTCTGCACTCACTTATCACAATTTTGGCGAGCCAGCGAGGAGACAGGACAAAGACTTTGGAAGGTTGGTTTTTCTGGACTGCAAAAACAGGTGCCCACCGCTGTTCTTCCTGCAGGTTTTTTTTTTGTGCTTTGGAAGAGCCCTCCGTCCCGGGAATTTGCTCCTGAAAGCCTGCGTTTGTTTGACTGATAGCTGAAACCATGCTGGCTTCCAGTGGTCACGTGAGCTGAGGTGCACCGGGGAATCAGGTGAGCTCTATCTGGTTTTTTTTTATAGATTATTTTGCAACATTTTTAAACATTTTTAAATAAATTGGGCTTGCACAATTTTAATTTGGTTTGCCTGGAGTGTGTAAGTCTCTGTGAGAAGTCTGTGGCGTGCTGTTTCACTGTGTTTCTCTCTCTCCTGTCATTTCCTATGTAGAAGGGGGGAACAAGATGGGGAATTGGAATTCTTGGTTAAAGAAACCAGATGTTACTAGTGAAGTTCCATCAATTCCTATGTTTTCCCCTTTAGGGGAGTTAATAAATCAATGGAATAAAACGTGGTTAGTTCAGTATACAAAACCCTTAAATAAGATACATTTAATTGAACTTTGCACAGTTGAATGGCTGAATCATATTTTGAAACCTCTTAATTATAGATGGTCATGTTTTGGTGAGTCTGATGTATATTGGATTAATGCTTTGAAAGATGTTTTGACTAAGAAGAAGTAAGATTCTCAGTTGAGTTATGTGGTTCCTTGGTATCATGTAAAATATACTGATCCTTTTCCTCCTCTTGGTAAAAATAATAAAAATATTTTGTATGCCAAGGAGAGTGACAAGTGGGATCCATCAGAATATGCTGGTTGTGTACGCCCTCTCCCCTATAACATAGCAGAGACTGCACAAGAAACAGCAGCTGCAGCAGTGGGGGATAAAGGAGGGGGAGGAAGTCTCCCTGATGTTTCTCAGTATAGAGAGTTGAAACAGGAGTTAGATTCATTGGCAGCAATTGCTGGACCTTCTAGTGGAGCTGTTACTAGATCTAAAGAGAGAAGAGACCAGCAGATGCTTTATCTGTAACATGAAATGCCTAATGGTCTCACATCTGAGGAAATTCCTGTAACAACTTTTGTAAATGTCCCACTTACGTCCTCAGATTTAAGGAATTATAAGTTGTCTATGCCGGGGTCGTCAACCTTTTGGACCTCAGGGACCACCAAACTCATAATTTTAGATCCCAGGGACCACTAACCAGTTTTGTGGGTGTGGCCTAATTTGTGGGTGTGGCTTGGTGGTCATGTGACTGATCAAACCCAAAAATCAGGCAAAGAAGGCAGATTGAGTTGCTCACAGAATCATTCAGTAATCTATCTATCTGCCATCGGCTAGCTCAGTCTCAAATTTGCTTGCCGTGAGTCTGCACTGAATTTGCTTGCAAACAAACCTTCAGTCCTCAGGGAGGTTCGGCTGTGCTGAGCCGAAGATCTAAAGACTAGCTAGAAAGCAAGAAATCCAACCATTTCCTGCTTCCTAGCTAATCTAAATCTCCCGGCACAGCAGAACAGATGATGGTTGGAAAAAGGAAAAATAGCAATTTAGCAGGCAAGTTTACCGGGTAAGGAGTGAGTGGGTGGGGAAGGTTCCTGCGGGCCATGTGGGCTGAGCAGCCTTGTGTTTCTGCGCAGCCTGGATTAATTGCTTTGGGGGGGTGCTCTGGGGGTGAAATTTCTCTGCAGCCCACCAAAATTTTCTCATGGCCCACCAGTGGGCCATGGCCCACCGGTTGGCGACCGTTGGTCTATGCCGTCTTTGCAGACGGATCCAATTTCTTTATCGGAGTCCCTGGATTTGTTTTTATGACCCCCAACCTATACTATACTATACTTGTGCATTTGGTTTTTCTTTCCTAAATTTACAACCTTACTTTTTCCCCATTGAAATTTATTTTGTTAGATAGGGCCTAATGTTCAAGTCTGTCAAGGTCCTTCTGTATCTTTAGCCTATCTTCTGGAGTGTTGATTATTCCTGCCAGCTTGGTGTCATCTGCAAATCTGATGAGTTCCCTATCTATCCTCTTGTCCAAGGCATTGATGGGGTACCTCACTGCTTACTTCCCTTCATGTAGATGCAGTTTTATTAAGGACTACACACTGAGTGTGGTTGGTCAGCCAGTTATGAATCCATCTGGTGGTGATGCTGTCTAACCCACATTTTTCTATCTTACCAAGTAGTAGGTTGTTGTCTACTTTATCAAATGCCTTACTGAAGTCCAAATAAATTATAGCCACAGCATTTCTCTGGTCCACTAATTTTGTCACTTTGCCAAAGAATGAAATAAGATTTGTCTGGCATAATCTGTTTTTGACAAACCCATGTTGACTTTTGGTTATGACTTTGTTTGCCTCTAGGTGTTCACAGATTCGTTGCTTGATTATCTTTTCCAGAATCTTCCCAGGTATTGCTGTTAGGCTGACAGGTCTGGAGTTTTGTGGATCCATTTTTTTTCTTTTTTTGAAGATGGGAACTACATCAGCCCTTTTCCAGTCCTCTAGTAGTTCCCCAGTGCCCCAGGATCTTTGAAAGATATGGTTTAGTAGTTCTGAGATCACATCTACCAGTTACTTCAGAACCTGGGGATGTAATCCATCTGGTCCTGGTGATCTGAACTTGACTAGGGTAGACAGGTGTTCTTGTACCATTTTCTTGCCTATTTTAACTTGTATTCCTAATCTGTTTTTTTACAGTACTGTTTTTGATAAGTTGGACTGGTTTTTTTTCCCTTTTGTGTAAAGTCAGATGGCAAAAAATGAGTTAAGCAGTTGTGCTTTCTCCCTGTTGGTTGTCACCTTGCCATTTTCTCCCATAAATGGACTAATACAGTAGTTTCCTTGACGTTTTTGTTTTTTACATGTTGAAAGAAGCTTTTTTTGTTATTTCTGACTTTTGTCGAGAGCCTTAGTTTATTTTCAGCCTTAGCTTCATCTTTGCAGACTCAGGCTATTTGCAGCTATTTTGCCTTAGCTATGTGTCCCTCTTCCCACTTTTTATACTTTCTTGTATAAAAGTGTTGAAGTTACAGGAACCTGTATAAAATTACAGGTTCCTGTAAGTTCAACACCGTCTATCATTTCATCTCTGTTAGTGAGAATTAAGTCCAATATGGCTGACTCCCTAATTCCCTTCTCTATGTCAACTCTCGAAACGACTTTAGCTAAAGCTGTATTTTCTTTTTCTCTGCTTCTTAGTTTCCATACATATGGGAGGAGTGGGGACCAATGGAATGTGAAATGGTTCCTTCTAATATACCAGACATAACAGCGATAGGGCTCATCGGAACCAAGGTCATCTCAACGAACACTCGTAACAGCCGGAGGGAGCAGCTGAGAAGCTTGTCGCTTACCTTGTTGGTAAACGTGATCTGTGACAATGAAGGGTGGAGAATATTAATTCTTTTAATTATACCAAACTGTGGGAAATATTTAGAATTGGATTCACATCTGAACGTGCTGATATGGTGTACCCAATAAAGGAAAACTTTGAGAAAAGCTACAGGCTCAGAGTCCTGAATTGATTGGGATCATTACTCAGAACAACGACATAAATCCAACTCTCCTAAAATCACCAAACCTCTGGGATTCCTCAATCCTGGCCCTCCATCCAGCTTCCTCAGGGGGAAGGGAAAATCTCAGAAGGAAATGGCTGAAATGAGGAGAGGAGAAACGCCAGCAAGCCTGTGGCAGGGCTGACAACACAGGTGGACGCCCAAGTGAGTGAGGTCACCCCGCTGATGGCCTCACAGCTGAAGGTGTGGTTAAGGAAGCCCAACCTGTGACATACATGGGAGGGAATGACAGCTGCGGAGAGCCACTACCTAGCGGGTGATGAGCTCTGGTGGAGGAAAGCCCCGAAGGCGGCAGAAACTGAGTTCACCTGACTTTCACCTAACTACTCAGGGGTCCACCTAACAAAGTGGAAGGAGAGAAGTAGACTCGGATGAGCCAAAGGGGGGGAGATACTTGACCACGCTTTGGAGCCCTTCCTGTGGAGTTGTTAAGGGAACGGTTCAACAGCGCAGGCATCCAGGAAGTTGAACCTTTGCACCGGCTGGGAGTGACAGAGGGGCTAGTCATCTGGGCAGCCCAACCTCTCTTGGATCAGTGGAGCCTGAGCCTACCTGGGAGATTCTGCCTCACCAGCCCAAAGCTTCAATTGGTGACTTGGGGTAGCCTGGATCGGAGCATCTGAGCATGACAGGGAGAGGTGGCAGCAGGCCCAAGCCCCAGGCAGAGCCCCCAGCTACGTTATGCTTTAGCCTACCCAACCCAGAGAGTGATGCTGAATGTGGTAGTTGCCAACCTTGAGGGGGAAGCAGCAGAATATGTGGCTGCCCTTCATGACGAGGACACACTTGAGCTGAGGGATGCTGGGATGTTCCTAGGGGAGCTGAGGGCAAGGTTTGAGGATGAGGTGAAGGCCCAGCAGGTGGAGGGGGAGATACGACAGTGAAAGCAAAGAGGGCGACCAGTGAAGGAATACATTCGAGAATTCTGGAGGGTTGCTGGAAAGCTGCGGCACTCGCCAGAATGACTGATCTAACATTTCAAAGAGGGCCTTGACAGAAAACTACGCCAGGCATGTGCCTACTTGGGCAACCCTGACCAAGTGCATGAATGGTACCGGGCTGCTACAGTGCTAGACATGGAGCAGAGGGGTTGCCAACCAAGGGGCAACACCAAAGTGAGACTGAGGAAGAGCCAAAAGAGTTGATTGGCCTCAGCTACGCCTACCAGCACGCCGAAGAGACCAAGCTGCCCCACTTCCATCCAATGCTTCCAGTGTGGCCAGTTGGGGCATCGAGTGGCCGAGTGCCTGACACCCGCGCCCAAACCGAAGTCACCAGCATCAACTAAGCCAAAAAACTACCAGGGAAGATGCTGGAAAATCCAGCTTGGCCCACCAGGCCATCCAGGTCCCCTCTTGTCTGCCTCAGGGGGAGGGAACTCTGGCTGAAGGGGACCAGTCACCAGCCTCATACGACAGGATGTGGGAGAAGGAGACCTGATGGTGAGTAGAGCCATTGCTATCCCTGTAAGAATCATGGCACCCAAAAATTCCAATACATAATACTTCATATAATAACCATGGACAGAATTGCCTTTGCCCAGAACTGGAAATAAGACAATACTCCTTCTGATCTAATGATAATAAAAAAGGTTTTAGAATGTGCAGAGGTGGATAGGTTATCAATGGAACTAAAGGACAGAGAAGAAACTGAGTACTATGATATTTGGAATTTATGGCACAATTGGTTCGAAGGTAGACACAAAACTGATAGATGAAGGGTATGTAGGAGCTATAGTAAGTTGAGATAAATACTGTTTGTAAGCTTGTAAATATTTGGTTTATGTTGAATGCAAAAACAAGTATGTAATATATAGTAACAATCTACATAACTAGAAAGTATGTAAACGTGAGTGAACACTGATATTGAAACACTGTTATGAGTGGAAATGTGTTTTTATGATGAAAATATGATTAATAAAATTTATTTTTAAAACTTAAAAAAAAAAGAATCATGGCACCCAAGTCGGGAGCCCAGGGGCAGTTTGAAGCCCTAATAGACTCAGACTGCACCCGATGCTTGATAATGTCAGAATATTCATGACTGGGAAGACATAGTAGCAAGGTCAGCCAATGAATAGGCATGGCAACTGATCAGCCAATGGGAGCTGAATTGGAAACTGAAACTGGAAGGAGCCTGGGCGTAGCTCTGTATTAAGCTCTGAAGCTGCAACTTGTCTACAACTCTGAATCAAAACTGAAACTCATCTCTGCTGTTCTCTCCTCTGCTTGTGTTTTGCCTGTAACTGCTACCACGTTGGAAGAATCTGCTGTTGGTATTGTAAATTTACTTCATATATTATTATGTATATAAATAAGTTAATGAATCCTGCTGAATCAGTTATCTGTGTGTGCTTTCTGGATTTGATTTTCTGCAACAAACTCTGATAGATACGCCTGCCAACCATGTTAGAACTGGGGATCCGAGCAAGGAAACTATTCAGAGCCATGAGGTTCGAGCAGGTCAAAGGCTCACTGATGGGGGGGGGGCTCCTGTTACACACTTAACCAAGCCCGTGAAGCTGGAGATGGGTCAGCACTGGGAGATGATCTGGTTTGTGATTGTCCCCAAAATGACAGAAGCTGTGATGCTGGGGTTAGCCTGGTTGGACAAGTGGGGCCTGACGATATGGTGGGAAGTGGGGGACAGGAAGTTGAGTCTAGGGAGAGGCCCTCTCCCTCCCCCACACGACTGAACCACGCAAGCCATACCAGAGGAGATGGGTGGCAAGGGCTGGGTAGGATGGTCCCCAGGGACCCAAATCATCCCCAGAGTACCAGGACCTGGCGGAGGTGTTTGTGATGACTCCCAGGGAAATGAGGGAGCTAAGAGAGTACATCAAAAAAAATCTAGCCAGAGGCTTCATCCAACCGGCCAAATCCCACATAATGGCTCCTGTTTTGTTTAAGGAAAAAGATGGAACTATGAGGTTATGCATGGCTTTTAGAGGCATCAATGAGGTGTATGTGGAAAACATGTACCCTCTTGCCCTCATGAAAGACATGCTAGCACAACTGGCTAAGGGAAAGTTATTCACCAAGTTAGACTTGAGGGAAGCACATTACCGTGTCAGAATCAGAGAGGGGGACGAATGGAAGATGGCATTCAATTGCCCGCTAGGAAGTTTTGTCAGTGTGTAAGAAATTATGAGCTGGGATAGGCATAACAAGTCAGCCAATGGGAACTGTTTGGTGACTTAAGAAGCAGGATCTGTTGTGACCCACGTCAGACAGCTCGGAGCCTGGGCATGGCTTAGCTTGACTGATCTTTTTTTTTTTATATATATAAATTTTATTGAATTTACAATTAAAAAATAACATAACAACATTACATATGCAACAGAGAGAAAAAAAGAAGAAAGAAAGAAGAGAAAGAGAGAGGAAAAGAAAAAGAAAAAACGCTCGGTCTTGCGACCGAGAAAGGAGAAAAAGAAGTATAAAAGAGAAAAAAAACAAAGAGACGGAAGAAAAAAGAAAATATGTTAAAACCAAACAGATATTCTTTTTGACAGTCTGCAAGATCCAATTCTCCTACCTTACTTTAAATATACACATCTTATTACTATTTATGCTTAAATTACCCATTATTCCTTGAACAGTTTATCTCTGATATAACCAATTATACCACGCATTCCAATTATTATCAAATGCTGAAGACTCTTTATTTTTAAGAGCTATGGTTAAATTGTCCATTTCTGCGCAGTCACATATTTTCTGAATGACCAATTGATCTGTAGGTAAACAGGATGATTTCCAGCACTGGGCAAATGCTAATCTGGCCGCAGTTAGAATATGAATTATTATATATTTCGTCTTTTTAGGAAAATGTTTATCAGAGATCCCTAGTAGGAAGAACTCTGGTTTGTATTCGATTTGTTCTTTGGTTATCTCCTCCAGCCATTTTCTAATTTTTTGCCAGTATTTCTGGGCTTCTTTACAGGTCCACCACATATGAAAGTAGGTTCCTTCTATGTTTTTACATTTCCAACATTTTGGACTAGAGTTTGGGTTCATTTTCGCTAACCTCGAAGGGGATAAGTGCCATCTATATAACATTTTATACATATTTTCTTTGTACGCCGCAGATTTCGTAATCTTAATGATTCTATTCCAGATCTTTTCCCATTCTGTTAATGTAATGCTTCTTCCAATATTCCTACTCCACATTATCATGTTCCCTTTCACTATCTCTTGCTCTAATTCTACCTCCAATAAATATTTATAAAATTTAGAGATATTCTTTTTATTTGATCCTAATAAGATTTTATCTAAGTGTTGTAATTTGCTATAGATTCCAAACTCTTTGATATCTTGTTTGTATCTACTATGGATTTGTATATATAACCACTGATCAATTTTAAATCCCTGTTCCTGTAAGTCCTGTCGAGTTCTTAATTTCCCTAAAGGGTCTAATAAATCTTTATATTTAGTCGTTTTTGTTATATCCAAATTGTTGGGATGAACCATTGCCTCCATTGTTGAAAGCCAAATTGGAATTTTTAAATAATGTTTTTTACATATTTTTTTCCAATTAGTTAATAGTGAATCTCTAATAAGATGTCTATGAAAGTACGCCTGTTTAGTTTTCCCCACATCCCATAGAAATGCGTGCCATCCTCTCTGAAGGTCGTGCCCTTCCAAGACTAGAGTTCTTTTGTTCCGTAAATTGACCCAGTCTTTTAACCATAATAAGTTGGCTGCCCAATAATATAATTCCCAGTTTGGAAGCGCTAGCCCACCTCTACTTTTTGCATCTTGTAAGGCCTTAATACTGATTCTAGCTTTTTTCCCTTGCCAAATAAATTTAAGAGTTACCTTATTTATATCATCAAAAAATTTTTTTGGTAATTTTATTGGGATTGTCTGGAATAAGTAAAGGAGTTTTGGTAAGATGTTCATTTTGATTGTGGCAATCCTGCCCAGTAGAGAAAGCTGCAACTTATTCCAAGATTCTAGATCTTTCTTAATTTGCTGTAACAGTTTATCATAATTATTCTCTTTGAGTGATTTACTATGTGGTGTTAACCATATGCCTAAATATTTGACCTTTTTTGTTGCCTGTATCCCCATGGTTTTTTCTAATTCTTTCCTCTGGTTCTCTGTTAGATTTTTAGTCAGTAATTTCGTCTTATTTCTGTTAATCTTTAATCCTGCTACTGAGCCGTATTGTTCTAGTTCTTTTATTAGATTATGTCCTTTTTCCATGGGATCCTCTAGGAAGAAAACCATATCGTCTGCAAACGCCTGTAATTTATATTCCTCTGCTTTGACCCTAACTCCTTGGATTTCAGAATTTTGTCTTATCCGCGTTAACAATGATTCTAAAGCAAATATAAATAAGAGGGGTGAGAGAGGGCAACCCTGTCTAACGCCCTTTTCAATGCTTAGTGGGCCTGTTTGTTCACCATTAATTAGTATATTGGCTTGTTGGGTATTGTAAATTGTTGTGATAATATTCTCGAATTTAGTGCCCAGATTCATGTTATAGATTTTTTGTATTAAAAAGTGCCAATGTAAGTTATCGAATGCTTTCTCCGCATCTAGAAACATGAGTGTAAATTGTTTCTCTGGATGAGCTTCATAATATTCTAAGACATCAATAACGGTTCTTAAATTGTTTTTAATTTGGCGGAATGGAAGGAAACCATTTTGGTCTTCATTAATGTATAAATTTAAAACTTGTTTTACTCTATTCGCTATAATTGAGGTAAATAATTTATAATCGGCATTTAAAAGTGAGATTGGTCTATAATTGTTGATATATTTTCTCTTTAAGATGACTTCCTTGCTGTTTGTTTGTTGATTTTCTGAAGCTGTGGTAATCTCTCTTCTACCTTTTCTCTTATTGTCTTGCCCCCTGCCTCCCTATTGTATCTCCTAAATACCTTACATAATTCTACTTACTTGGGGGGGGGGGGGAAGAGGAGGATATACTATTATTATAGAGTTAAGAGATTACTGTTGTAAGTATTAATAGGAAAAAGGGATAAACTTTGTTGATATAATCTATTTATAAATTATCTAGACTACTTAAGACATTTAAGATTAATGCCTTAAAGTGTTAATTGATGTACTATTGCTGACCAATTTTCTTATTACATAGACTAGATTATTGTTGCAGATATCTATTTATGATATAGGGGAAAAGACTGTGGAGTGAGATATTAAATTGAAATACGTGAATAGACTTTCAAGTACAGGACCCAAATACTGAATGGTGATTTGGAATAATATATTTAAAATTTTGCATCAACAAAAACAAATACTTAGAGAGATGACATCCACAACAACTATGGCCTTAAAAACAGGAAGGAAGGCTATCCCGACCCTATCGACTACGTTGACATC